TGGCCGATGTCCGATATTCAGTTTTAAGGCCGATACCGATAGGGGGCCGATTATATCGTGCATCCCTAATATTTAATGTACTAAAAGTTATCTAACTATCTAGAAATATAAATATTATTGTGTTATTGTACTCTTGTGTTGTCAACAAAGTAGGCATTCAATAAATATATGTTTGAGCTAATCTTTGGAAAATAAAAAGCTTAATGAAAGGGTCCGGGTGGAGTAACTGTGGCGTTACCCGGGTGTCGCCACCAACTTTCATTACAAACCTTTGACTGTGAATCAACATATTATCTCCACACTTACTATGGGGATTAATATGACCTGTTACTTTACTTATAATGTTACTTTTTCTGCCTAAATCATTTTATTTTGGGAAAATATGTGAAATGTTCCAAGTTTTGTATACTGTTTGGTAACAAGGCGATGCTTTTAGCTACTCTACCTTGAACTCTGACCTTACCGCTGTGGTTCTTTGGTCCTTATGACACTGTGTGTTCACACATGTTCCTGAACCTCACAGGCCTTCAAAGGACGGCTGGATTCATATGTGGAAAACATTACATACATCTGCTTATTAATCAGATCACATCTGGAGGAAAGTGTTGAATTTATATATTGATTATGGAAATGGATTTCATATTATCTCAGAAAACAGGATTTAACACTAATATACATCACTTTCACTTGAAAAGCGTTTATATTTTAACCTTTACTTAAAAAATATTGTAAGTTTTGATCTAGACAAAAAAATACACCAAAACATAAAGTTCATAGTGACAAAATAGGATTCTGTAAACTATATAAAAACCACAGTAGGTTTATAACATTTTATCCCCGAAATAAAAGCAGTAATTGCACTAAATCGTGGTGTCTAACTATTTCTTTAAGTCGTGAAGTTCACACCTTTACTTTAGCACCATCACATGTTGATATAAGAGAGATCAAATGCAAACTTGCCTATAATTAGTTCCAGTGTAATAAAATGCTAATCTGTGGAGCTAAATACAACAGGTTATAGATAGGCAGGGAGATATAGGTTTCTCTACAGTGACCGATCTAATACACATGCACCTTTAAACCTGTTGGTTCACTCATGAAGCGCCTTTTTATTTCACCACCAAGTTTTTCTAAACGCAGAAACAATCATCGTGACGGACATAAACCAAAGAAGAAGAAGATTAAAAGTGGGAAAAGTCTTTAGCTCAAAGCTTGGAAATTAACTGCAGCAACATTCTTACCATGATTTGGAGAACCTGAGAGAACAGCAGCCGTCCACAATAACACTTCTGGCACTTCCTGCTTGGACTGTTGGAAGGAAACCACAGCAACACGGAACTCAGAGCGCGTCCTCTGATTGGCTGACGGCCCACCTGCGAAAACGCGCGAGAGTCTGAAACCCGAGTTGTCTCTTTTTGTTTTTCTTTTTATCGACTAAACATGTAACGGGTGAAGCTTTACCAATTCAGAGGTTAATACAGGTATTTATCCAAATATATTAAAAGCGACTTTCATTTCAGACTGATGACGCGCTGCTCGTGCCGAGTGAGGCGTTAACGATCGAAGCCTTTAAAAACCCAGAGTTCCTGAACGCACCACCAGCCCAGTAATGCCAGAGGAGCAAGATGCAACGCGCAGCTTGCAGCACGAATGGTAAGGCAAAATAAAAATTAACCCTGAAGTTAAAAGTACTCAGAGGATATCAAATATCAGATATCTTTATTGAAAACATCAAAGTAAAAGAATGTTATTATTAGAAGCAAACCAACAGTTGACTCCACATGCAAACAGCAAAAAAATTAAATAAAATGGAAAGTAGGTCTGGGGAAATAAAAAATAAAAATCCTATGGAATCCAAAATACCTCTTTAAATGTAAAAAAAAATAAAATAAAAATTGAGGCCGCACAAAATGATTTCAATGGCTTGAAATTATGTTTGCTTCACTGTCACACCTGTAGAAACGAAAGGGAAATTGCTTATTAAAAAAGTGGGCGTTTTGCTGAAAGTTGCAAAGCAGGAAAATGCAGCTGTGTGAGATTGCTTGTTCATCTGAGACATTAAGAAGTCCTCTAAAATGCAGAATACATTTGTTCCCATATGGGCCAAAATGGGATATGGGATAAAAAAAATAAAAAATAATAACCAAACTACTTTAGCACAGAGATTTAGGTTTAATGCTACATTTGTATAAACTGCAATATGAAACAGTCACTGTATGAAATAAGGTAGACATTGATAAAGTAATAAAAGAGAAAATGTTATTTTCCATGCATATTCATAGGCCAATGAGGCCATAAGTAGCTTCAGGCATTCCTAATGGCGCCATCTAGCTTAAAGTTGGACATTAAATGTAATTGACACAAAATAGATCATTTCCGAAATAAAAATGTAGGTGCACTGCAAAACCTTGAAATCTAAATGGGTAATGTTTTCTTAAAATTATTGCATTTTTTTNTTTTTTTTTTTTTTTTTGTTTTTCCATGTCATACAACACATGGTGAAATGTGATATCAATAAATGTTGACTGTGAATAAATTTGATTAACATCTACCCAGTTTTCATAACTGTGCATCCCAAATAACGTTTAAGCAGGTGTAGTACTATTAGGTCCTTATTTATGTGTTCAATTGTTCAACACTGATATAATATTCTAACTTAAAATGTTGTGTTCTCTGGCCGTAAATAGAAAATTAAAAAACTGACAAACATAAAGGCTTGGAAACAGGTAAGTTAATTGAAAAAAACTAACTTTCAGACAATTTAATTCTGCATTTTAATTGTTAAAAAGTATTTTTACAAAACTGCATGTAAAAAAAATAAAAAATAACCAAACTACTTTAGCACAGAGATTTAGGTTTAATGCTACATTTGTATAAACTGCAATATGAAACAGTCACTGTATGAAATAAGGTAGACATTGATAAAGTAATAAAAGAGAAAATGTTATTTTCCATGCATATTCATAGGCCAATGAGGCCATAAGTAGCTTCAGGCATTCCTAATGGCGCCATCTAGCTTAAAGTTGGACATTAAATGTAATTGACACAAAATAGATCATTTCCGAAATAAAAATGTAGGTGCACTGCAAAACCTTGAAATCTAAATGGGTAATGTTTTCTTAAAATTATTGCATTTTTTTTCTTGAATTGAGGAGGTGAGACCCTTTGCCAAAGGAACAAGACAATTTACATTTAAAATAAGAAAAAAAAAATCAATTGCATTGCCTTATTTTTAAGTGTATAAATTATCTTATTTACCCATTAAAATGAACAGTTAATAAACTTGATCGAATAAACTTTTACTTATTTCTAGATCTTTTTTGCAGTGTGGCAACATTGAAGTTGAAATGTAAATTGTGAAAATAATCAGTGAGAGAAGATCAATCGAATATTTTTTTTAACTTTTATATATTTTCTACACAATCAGATTGACCTCCTCTGACTTGCCTTGCATTCATTCTTTGAAACACAAAATCTGCCTGAATTTAGAAAATTGCTAAGACAAATGAGTATGAAATCATGCTCACTAAATCTAGATTTTGTTTTAAACTGGTAAACTGTTTAATACTCCCATCTTTTGCTGAAGGCATTAATAATTTTCCCTTACCTTGACAGGATTTGGTCCATCTTTGAAGCCTGAAGGAGAACCCATTGATCCACTGGTCTTTCAACGGGATGCTTTTCAGGAAAGGCTTTCAAACTTGCAAAAATCCACCAGTCCCTCTCCTGTCAAATGGGTCGATGCAATAGGTAGAGACTTTGAGAAATGCATGGATTTGGGCTCTTCTTCTGTCTCTGGATTGAAACGTGTTGACAAGCCTGAAACATCTGAAAATGGCCTCAGACAGAACATGCTTTATATTCAGTCAGGATCTAAGCACTTGGCAGACTATTCTGGTCTATCAAAAGCTTGGAAGAAAATTCCTACTGAACTCCCAGTAGATGGGTATAACTACTCTATGCATGGCATTAAAGTGGGCAAAGAAGAGGATGTCCTGGTGATCTTTACTGAATCAGTCAATCACTTCTACTGCCAGTTGACAAGGAATTCACAAGTATTGGACAAACTCTGGAAGAGTATTTCAAACCTGCCCAACAAGCTTCAAAGCTCAGATTGTCAAATGAAACTCAACAGTATTTGCTTAGCCAAGTATAGTGACAATCAGTGGTACAGAGGTCTTATAGTACAAAGTTCCCCAAAACTCAAGGTGAACTTTGTTGACTATGGGGAAACCCTTGCTGTTCCTCAAACAGATATTCGCCCCTTCCCTCCTGAAGCAATCATTGCCAGGTCTGTCCCTGTTCAGGCTGTTTCACTTGGCCTATATAATGTTCCTCCAGATACACCACAGGAAGTCAACAAGTGGTTTGCAGAATGTGCTTTGGAGAAAAGTTTTACCATTTCAGTAGTGGAAAAAGGGAATGATGGGAAACTGTTGGTTGAGATGTTTGATGGATCCCTCAGTGTTAATGCGATGGTCAGGGATAAAGTGAGAAAAATGAGACTACCTAACAAAACGGCTATGAGTTCTAAGGATGGCGACCGGTTTGTCTCCAAGAAGGCCACTGTGTCAAACAAGGACTTTTCCCCACCCGAACTTGCAAGAGGATCAGTGTTGGACAACCCCAACACTGACATGTGTGCCACATATGTCGTTTCACCAGAAGTAAGGCAAGGGATGCCGTTGGACATCATTCTTGAGAACAGTGAAAGCAAAACCGACACTTTCATTCAGAGCTCCCACAGCGACATAGAAACTACTCGGCTTTCCTCTGACTCTTACCTAAAGCAAGATGTAGTCGGCCTCATGTACAGGTGGCCAAATATTTGCAAAAACATGATTCTGGATGTGTATGCTTCTTGCATTGCTGGACCACAGTACTTTTGGTGTCAACCTGCCAACACGGAGACCCTTGACAACGTGTTGTCACTTACTAAAGATGCTGCTAAGGCACAAGACATGATTTCACCTGAGCACTTTGAACCTGGTAGTCCCTGCCTTGCTCTGTTTTCAGAAGACAACCAGTGGTACAGAGCTCTAGTAACAGGGAAAGGAGACGAAACAGTCCATGTCTTGTTTGTTGATTATGGAAATGAGTGTGATGTTGAGAAAAAGTATATAAGATCCCTTCCTAAAAACCTGCTAGAGATTGCTCCTCAGGCATTTCTGTGCTGTTTGGAGGGTTTTGAGTCCAAGGGCTCCTGGGATGAAAAGGTTTACGATGAGTTCTACAGTATCATAGTTGACAAGCCACTTAAAGTGATAGTTGCAGCCATGGATAATAATTCAGAGATCGCAGTGCCTCAACATGCAGTAACCACACAGTGTGACGAGATTGTGGTAAATAAAGTACTAGAGAAATATTGGAAGCCATCTTCTGAAGAACATTCTGGAGATGATGTGGAACAAACCCAAACTTCCAAAGACCTTTACAGCGGTGACATTTATAACCCTGATGCCTCCAAAGAGAATATGACCGTGTCTATGTTCAAGCAACCAGAAGTTATCAGGGCTAAAACGGAAATGGTTTACGCATCCTGTATTTCAGAGCCAAAATTCTTCTGGTGTCAATTTGCAGATACTGAGGATTTAAGCAAAGTGTCACAAGAAGCTCAAAAAGCCGGAGAGGAACAAGACGATGTGACATTCTCTCAGAGTCTAGGACCGGGCAGCCATTGTCTTGCTCTGTTTCCTGATGACAAACAGTGGTACAGAGCCTTGGTAGTCGAGAAAAGTAACAAAATATTTCATGTCCTTTTTATCGACTATGGAAACGAGTCAGACATAGACGTTCAAGATGTAAGACCTTTGCCTCAGAGTCTCCAGGAGATGGCACCTCAGGCCTTTCTGTGTCGTTTGATGGAATTCGACGAGTCTAAGGGTTCCTGGGATGAGCAGGCTTATGATGTCTTCTACAATCTTCTTGTTGATAAACCATTAAACCTGACAGTGGTCAGTGAGGAAAACTATTCGGAGATTCCAGTTCCCCAGTATTCAGTGGAAGTAGAGTGTGAAGGGGTCTCCATAAATGCATTAATGCAGCAACACTGGAAAGTATAGAGGAATGCATGTTGGAAAAAACCCTTCAATCAACTGATCTCATAGTGGTTCAGCTCAGTCAAAAATGCCTCCAGTTTGTTTGTATTATAAGAGGAGTAAAAGGCAAACACTCAAGCATATCCAGGAATAAGATGGAGCTTTTTTGACCATCTTCTCTTGATGAATCTTACTGATTGTATCAAAATGGAAATGCCTCATTGCTTCTTCTTGTGTGTTGGAACTTATACAAAATTAAATAAAGCTGTTCATAAAATATTAAACTGAAAAGCGATCATTGTTTTTTTGTGGTCCAACTTGTAAAAAAGGGGGAAAAAAATATATAGATTTTTTAATTAGCGTAAAATGTGATCGTTTTGCTTCTATATTCTGACAAAATAAAACCAAAAAAGGTTTCCTATTTGCTCTTATAACGGTGGCGTTGTTCTTTTAAATTAGCTTTGCTTTATTGGCAGCTCAGCTTTTTTTTTTTTTTTGTTTCTTCAGATCTTTTCCAACAATTTTACTGTTATAAAATCTTAAGATAGGGGGAAAAAGACCATTGGGTCTTCTGTATTGCATACTGATTTCTAAATCATGTCTAAAAATTGTTTCCTAATGGTTTTGTGAATAAAAATCGAAACTGCAATTTAGACCTACTGATTTAGTGTTCTGGTTCTTTAATTTTCTCAACTACAGCCTAAAAATCAAAGGGGGTAGAGAATGTGTGAACAGAAATTGAAGTCTTGTCTGGTTTTCACAATTGCATAAAGGTTAAGACTTTGGATCTTGATCTAACATGAATTGTTTTAATGTAAACTATTTCATTTTAGCTACAGCTTTAGTCATTCCTGTTGGGAAGGAAACCACCATCATGCTCTAAAGTCTCATCTTTTCTTTAAACATTAAGCTCTGTGCATCCTACGTTTAACTTTGATCTGCATCCCTGTGTAGGATGATTATGAAAGATAATTACTGCTATGTTCCACTGTTTAAATGATGGATTGTGGATGATTTGGTTTTCTGATTCAGCATTTTCATTTCTTTTTATCACTTAAGCACAAAATATTAAAACTCATATTCTTGACAGAAACTCGTTAACAAGGAATCTGCTAAGGAACATGAGGCCTCTGAACTGGAAATGTAGTGGAACAATTGGGGTTTAGGTCTCTCTCTCTTACAGTTGCTCACCCTTCATTTTATCCTTTAAGATGGGTAAGAAAAAAATGGCCACACAAATGTGGACCTTAGAAAAATGTATAAGAATAACATAATAGTGAACACTTAAATGACAAACAAATTTTTCTTTTTAAAATTAATGGAGAACTTCTGCTTGTATTCTATAACATTTATAACATAATGCCACGCTAAATATGTAGGGGTGGTGATAGCCATGCCAGGTGCCTTGGTCAAGGTCAATGACCGGCGTTTTAGGTTAATATACTATATTAATTAGGCTATTTATGCTTCCAAAAAAAAAAAAGATAAATTCCACCATCCTATTTTTTATTTTTTTTTTACAAATAGACTACTGGCATTAAGGGACATAAACCCAGTAGGTCAACGCAGAACTAATAGTCTTGAAGAAATAATATTTATTAACCTCACAAGGAGACTTCTCTCTGTTATGGATGCGGTACTGGAATGCAGTGCAACTTTCAGTAAATGGATATGTAATGCTTTGACCTGTCCAGCAGGCGGCAGTGTTCCATTCGGCTCAAATAATAACTCCGCCATTTTGGACCCATCAGAATAACTTCATTATTTTTCTTTGGTAGACCTCATAGGCTTAAAACTGTGACTACTAAGAGCTAAAGGTTGTTGGGATATATTAGGAAGCACATCAACATCTGATGGATGCATAAAAATGAACAAGCCGAAGGGTTTGTGAGCAACATCAGCTCCTTGGGGGGGTGTTTAGCAGCAGTACAAGTCAATGGCAATACGGTATCAACATTAACATCTAAAATACATTATATTCTTAAACTTGGCTGTGTTTTTATACATGCCCAACAAGCATGAAAATACAGCTACTGTGCATTTTTTTTTAAAATATTCATATTCCTTAGAATCAGAATCAGAAATACTTTAATAATCCCAGAGGGAAATGGATTCATTTTTTCCCCCCTCAAAACTTTACACATAATATCCAATAATTCTAATAATACATTAGAAATAAAAACAAAACAAAAGAAATCACATGTTCATCTGTATTCATAGCTTTTGTCATGCATCCCATTCTTAGCTAAAGGAGATGTTTCCACAGCTAATTTCTACATGTCGTAAAGTCATAACTGAAAAGGACGAAATGTGTTACATGTCACGGCTCAAACAGCATTTTCCCAAAGCACTAATGTGGGGATTTCTTTAGAGATCAGGGGACAATATTAACTGCTACCAAAAATTTGGTCTTTTAGGGTTTTCTGTTTAGAGTTTTGAAGGGGAAAGAGCTGAATGAGAGCAACTTGAAAAAGTAAGCGTCTTTTCTAAATAACACCCAGTAATATTTGAAGGAAAAAGATTGAACAGTTACTCAACTATCTGCTGAAGTAAAATCATGGAGCACTAAATCTAAAATGCATGACTGCATAAAAGGTATAACACATAAAGTGTATGCCTGGAGGGGAAAACCTTTTTATTTTTAAACATGTTGCAGGGATAACCCCTTGATTATTACGGTTGGGTGCATCAAATAATTAACTGATTTATCGAATTGATTGCAGATGTAAAGGCAATAGATTATATACATACTCAAACGACAAGAACGAGTTAACTTGTTGATTTGTATTTAACAAATCATGGAAAACTGTAAAATAAGGGAAAGTTCATGTTTTTGGTCCCTTACATTTCTTTCATCCTTTAGTCTTCAGTTTTAAAGCTTAAATATTCTGATTTCAGGAGAAATGTCAACACTACGAAAAATTTATATATTTTTTTTACAGCCAAAAGATGTATTTGGAACCAGAGTCTGGCTTTGATTTTCAATTAAGAATAGTATTGATGGTCGGATTGTTTAGATTATAGCCAATAACTGGTCCAATAGTGCATTCTGATGAAATAAATTAGGCCTACGGGGTTATCTACAGTCTATCTGTTATGGCGTCATGACATTTACCATCACTAACTTCCCAGTTTGTGTTTTTTTAATTTGGCAGGTTAAAAACCTTTTTTGATTTTATTTCTTCAGATCACTTTGTATTGCATCTTTCACAGGAGATACAGAGATGGTCAGGATTCTCATAGAACATTGAGCCAGGCAATGTCTGAGGACGGAGCACGGATGGACTCCTTCCCGCTATGCTGCGGAGTCCGGTCGGAAGATGCTGCACTCTCTCCATGCACCCATAGAGAAGAAGGACTGCTGTGGAGACAAACCAGTAAGGATAGCCGAAATATATGAACACCAAGAATGTGTTAGATTCCTTAAAAAGTATGACAAAAAGCCCACTTTTGATCCATTATTCTTTATTATTAATGATTATATATGTTTAAATGTAAATGTTTCATGTTTTTTTTTGTATATGTTGCAGAGCAGAGTCTGAGTACGAGGCCTACCGCAAGAAAACAGCTCTGGATGGCATTTCATTAGATGATACAGATGAGGAGTGGGTGCAGCAAAGCAAAGAACATGGAGAAGATGGTTTTGTTTCTAAAACCATCCAGGAGACTTAGTTTGCAGTATGCTTTAACAAAAACAGTTTTTAACATAATTTCTGCAAGGTGCAATGTGCAGTGATTTTTCACTTCTTATATGATAGTGTTGCAATGTTACTTTGAGCAGGCTTGACATTTGTCTAATCAAAGCTAATCAATAAAGAATATACAGAATACATGTATAAATACTTATGTACAAATAATAATGATCAATCATAGAGAAGAGTAAAGGTACATGATGGGCTTGGTTTATTTCTTCACTGTTGATTCCAGCTTAGTGGAGCTCTCACTGACACTGGATTCTGGAGACTGGGGCTTAGAAGAAACAAGACAGACATGAACAAAAAATAATGGTAGTTTGCAAACTTGCAATAGTATTGGATGAACACCTACTTTCTTTAGGTACCTCTGTAGAGCTTCACGGGTCTGCAGAAAGTACAGTGAAAATATTTATTGATGCTAAATCTAAACAAATGGGGTCCTACCATTTCTGTTAACTTACCATCTTGTCTCCCAAGCAGGTGGTCAACAAAATGAAAAAACCCTGCAATTGAAAGAATTAACTTTTACAGAAAATACTCCTTGTTAAAGGAATAGTACACCCAAAACATGATTAGCCTTCATTTTCTACTCACCCCCATGCTGAACAACACTCTGGAGTACTTTTTTGATATCTCAAATGCATCTGGAGATCTGGGAGGCTTCTTGCTGTCTGCTGACATTCAAATAATGGAGGTCTATGGCGCCCGAGGCAGAAAGGTCCATAAAAGTCCACAAAAAACGTGTCAATATTCCTCCATACTGCTCGTCCAATGTATTCCAAGTGTCCTGAGTGGGTAGCATCCAGAATTTACTCGAAACGAAGTCATTTAGAATGTTTTTAGAGCATAAACAGTAGTGTATAGGATTTCCTGAAAGCGCGCACCTGCGCGTTCATGACGCTATGGAAGCCGGCAGACCAAACCAGATAAAAGTGCGCATTCAGCGTCTGCTCTGCCGATAATGCAAGCGTAGAAGAAGAAATGTGCTGCTTACCTGTGCAAAGAAAGAAACAACGAAAGAAAAATGTCTGAGGACTTCAGTGTTAAGGAAGAGCATGAGTTCTTTGCCGAGCTGAATGCGCACTTTCGTCCGGTTTGGTCTGCCGCGGTTTCCGTAGCGCCGTGAACTCGCAGGCGCACGCTTTCAGGAAATCCTATACACTACTGTTTATGCTCTAAAAACATTCTAAATTACTTCGTTTCAAGTAAATTCTGGACGCTACCCACTCAGGACACTTGGAATACATTGGACGAGCAGTATGGAGGAATATTGACACGTTTTTTGTGGACTTTTATGGACATTTCTGTCTCGGTCACCATAGACCTCCATTATTTGAATGTCAGCAGACAGCAAGAAGCCTCCCAGATCTCCAGATGCATTTGAGATATCAAAAAAGTACTCCAGAGTGTTGTTCAGCATGGGGGTGAGTAGAAAATGAAGGCTAATCATGTTTTGGGTGTACTATTCCTTTAAGTTCTTAAATTGCATATATCATCTGAACTCTACCTGGAAGCCATTTAGCAGGTTAAAGATGTAGTTGACTGCGTAAGCTATGTCTCCGCTTGTGAGATCAAGAGCCAGCATGGCAAATCCAAAGATCCATGTCACGCCAAAGATCGGGGTCAGGAGGACAACGGTTCTAAGCACCGTTTTGGCAGCCGCTTTCTCCTCCTCTGCTGAAATATCCGTTTTTTTGCTGATTTCTGCGTGGTGACTTATGAGCTTCATGATAACCACAAGCATCGAGAAAATGTTGATGAAAACAATCACTCCGACTGGAATGATGAATGTGAAAATGCTTCCCTTAAAAAGTCCGGCATAAACCAGCCAGCAGGAGTCTTTTGAGTAGTACATGCCCTCCGCTCCACCATTGTTGGTGAGAAACGTGATAAAGACAATAAGCAAGGGGCAAACATAGCCGATCAGTAACGAGAACCTGAGGTAGTTTTTCTTGCTCACCTTGTGGAACAAAAAGACTGCTCGATGAAGGAGTGTGGCGCTCAGACAAAACATCCAAAAGAACATGGCCAGAAAGCAAAAATGCTTCAGGACCACGGAGGTCCGACACCAGAGGTCTGAAATCCCTTTTGGCTGAGAAGATGCCAAAAAGCAAAGGTCAGCAATGAGCAAACACAGAGAAATGTTCACATGGGCAGTGTGGCGTAAATATGAAGTGCTTGTCTTGACGACGTCGCTCCAGACAATGAACTCTATCGCGAGGTTGATGATGAGGGACAACACTGACACTGACAAAGCTGCATAGGTTACATAGGTTAAGCCAGGGACGTCCAGGGGCTTCTTGGACATTAGAATAGAAAATGAGGAAAGATGTTTACAGACGCAGCTGCTCTCCTTGAATGGCCCCAGCCATTCACATCCATCCGTTGACCACCGTTTAAGATTAGTGTCCCAAAACACACACTTTAACTCAACGTTGCGAGGTCTTGGGTTGATCAGTTTAAATTCAATGGTAATATGATCGATGCTTTTGTTTTCTGCAGTTGCGGAAACCACAATACTGTTAGGCTCAGATTCGTTTTTGTTATAGGGCAAATAGTTCTGCAGGTTTCTAAATGTAGCTGTTTTAACTTCACCAGCATTTGAAATAGAAATCGTGACATCGAAACTAGACACTGAACAGGTTTCCGCACTCTTGTTACAAACATCCACTATCAGATTTTCCTTTGGTATATTTGTTATGTTTGATCTCTTAATGAATTTCTCAACTGCAATCATGTAGGTCTCAGCAACTGTTGATGACTTGTTCTCAGGAGGAGTTGCATTCCATGAGCTTTCAAGACTCTTATTCAGCAGATGACTGGATGAGATTATAAAATTCTAAAAGCAAAAAAAAAAACATAATTTCATGTCATTATTTTAAATATATCTGTGATATATAACAAGCATTGTATATACACTACCGTTCAACAGTTTGGTGTCACCCAAACAATTTTGAGTTTTCCTGAAAAGTCACATTTATTCACCACCATACGTTGTGAAATGAATAAAAAATAGAGTCAAGACATTGACAAGTTTAGAAATAATGATTTGTAATTGAAATAAAAGCATTTTTTTGACATCAAACTTTGCTTTCGTCAAAGAATCCTCCATTTGCAGCAATCCCAGCATTGCAGACCTTTGGCATTCTAGCTGTTAATTTGTTGAGGTAATCTGGAGAAATTGCCCCCCACGCTTCCAGAAGCAGCTCCCACCAGTTGGATTGGTTGGATGGGCACTTCTTGCGTTCCATACGGTCAAGCTGCTCTCACAGCAGCTCAATGGGGTTCAGGTCTGGTGACTGTGCTGGCCACTCCATTACCCATAGAATACCAGCTGCCTGCTTCTGCTCTAAATAGTTCTTGCACAATTTGGAGGTGTGTTCAGGGTCATTGTTAGCCTGGGTGCCATTCCGAACTTAGTCCCGCCCACAAAGTTTGAGGTCGGGAAGTTCGGTCTGGCTCTGCTCCATAGTAGCGCGAGTATTATCGCCCACTGTCAGGCGATCCAATCAAATTGTCAGGGCGGGCTTTATACGATGATGGACAGATGACCAACAGTCACGTAATCAACCACGTGACCATTGCGCACTAGGGTGACCAC